TGTCCCTGTGCTCCTGTCCCTGTGCTCCTGTCCCTGTGCTCCTGTCCCTGTGCTCCTGTCCCTGTGCTCCTGTCCCTGTGCTCCTGTCCCTGTGCTCCTGTCCCTGTGCTCCTGTCCCTGTGCTCCTGTCCCTGTGTGCCACCTGTGTCTGTGTGCCACCTGTCTCTGTGTACCTGTGCTCCTGTCCCTTTGTTGCTGATCCTGGATCTTTGGTTTTTCATCATTAAATCTACTACTGCTGCTACTGCTGCTGTTGCTGCTGCTGCTGCTACTGCTGCTGTTGCTGCTGCTGCTGCTACTGCTGCTGCTGCTGCTGCTGCTACTGCTGCTGCTGCTACTACTGCTGCTACTGCTACTACTACTGCTACTGCTGCTACTGCTGCTGTTGCTGCTGCTGCTGCTACTGCTGCTGCTGCTGCTGCTGCTGCTACTGCTGCTGCTGCTACTACTGCTGCTACTGCTACTACTACTGCTACTGCTGCTGCTACTGCTGCTGCTGCTGCTGCTGCTACTGCTGCTGCGCTGCTGCGCTGCTGCTGCTCTGCTGCTGCTGCTGCTACTGCTGCTGCTACTGCTACTACTACTGCTACTGCTGCTGCTACTGCTGCTGCTGCTGCTGCTGCTACTGCTGCTGCTGCTACTACTGCTGCTACTGCTACTACTACTGCTACTGCTGCTGCTACTGCTGCTGCTGCTACTACTGCTGCTACTGCTACTACTACTGCTACTGCTGCTGCTACTGCTGCTGCTGCTGCTGCTGCTACTACTACTGCTACTGCTGCTGCTACTGCTGCTGCTACTGCTGCTGCTGCTGCTGCTACTGCTACTACTACTGCTACTGCTGCTGCTACTGCTGCTGCTGCTACTACTGCTGCTACTGCTACTACTACTGCTACTGCTGCTGCTACTGCTGCTGCTGCTGCTGCTGCTACTACTACTGCTACTGCTGCTGCTGCTGCTGCTGCTGCTGCTGCTGCTACTGCTGCTGCTGCTGCTGCTGCTACTGCTGCTGTTGCTGCTGCTGCTGCTGCCTCCATCTCTTCACCTCATGACATATTTTCTTACTTTGCCGGCGGCACGGTGGCTGAGTGGATAGCACTCTCACTTCTCAGCAAGGAGGTCCTGGGTTCGAATCCCGGTCGGACCAGGGCCTTTCTCCCTGTGTCTGTGCAGGTTTCCTCCGGGTACTCCGGTTTCCCCTACCACTAAAAATATGTACAATAGTTCTGGCATGCGCCTCCTGTACTGGCCCCGCTCCCATCTCTGTGTGGAGTGAGAGACAAATGCCCAAAAAAATAACAATTGTAAACCGCTTTGAGACTCTGGTTTGTGAAAGGCGGTATATAAATAAAGATTACTACTACTTTGCTTCAGCCCAATCCTGTTTGTTGTTGTTGTGATAAAGTCAGTGAATGTTTCATAGTTCTTGAATCAAACGGACCCTTCCTGTGTAGTTCAGCCGCTGTGGACTTTTGAATGCATTTGTTAAAAGAATGGTTTAAATCTGGGGCAGAGCGTTCCACGGCTTTGGTCCAGACTCAGAGAAGGCCCTGTCTCCGGGTTCTAAGTCTAGTCTTAGGTCCCACACGCTGGACCCGGCCCTCGGACCTCAGGGTGGGGCGGGGGGTCATTTTGGATGAGGTCCGAGATGTGAGGCGGGGCCAGTCCAAGCTTACCTCACCGGGGCATCTCTGTCACTTGATATCAGGATTTATTTACCATCAAGCTGCAACTTAACCGTTTCTTTAGTAGCCTATAATTAAAAAAATAATAATAATATGTAAAAATGTAATAATTGTTTGTTTTTGTACTAATTTGAACCAATTTGACGATCATTGAAGTAAAAAGTAAATCCTCAAAGACCGGTCCATCCTTTGCTTCGTCCTAGTTTATAATCAGAACTAAACATGGGGAGGCTGCTTTTCAGATTCATGCTGCTAAAATCTGGAACAATCTTCCTGAAGATGTGAGACAGGCCTCCTCTCTGACAATGTTTAAAACCAGGTTAAAAACAGTTCTGTTCAGCTACAACTGAGGGATTTTATATTTTTATCTTTCTTTTTAATGTTCTGTGATTATTTATGATTTTAATGCTTTCTTGTTCAGCACTTTGAGTTGCCTTGTGTATGAATTGTGCTATATAAATAAACTTGCCTTGCCTATAATCCCTCTCCTCGCTGACTCACGGCCTCCTCTGTTCTCCGCCTGATCTGGTCTAGACGCCGGTCCGGCCCGGTCTGTCTGCGGTCTCACCTCCGCCTCCCTCGGGCACCGTGTCCTTTCTCCAATCCTCCTCCGCCGCCGCCGCTATCCCTCCATCGCACCACTCCCTTTGTCATCATTTCAATATCTCCCGCCGCCGCCGGACAGAGCGGCCCTCGGCTCATCCAGATCCGCCCGATTCCAAGAAGTAGAAACTGCTCATTTTCTGCAGGTCTGGCCTGAGGGGAAGACATCGGGGCGGTTTGAACGGTGGCGCAGAGAGATGGCGGAGACCAGATTGGGTTTTAATCCGTCTGGAGATGAATTGTAGAAGGTCCTGTTTCTTGTAATTAGCTTTTAAAGGGCAGCGCTGTGAGGAAGTGTTGCCAAGTTTATATCCGCGGTGATGTATGTTTACCAAGCGGGGGTTCTGCGGGGTGCCAGGCTGCAGCCGCGGCGTTAGCTCAGGCGCTAACGACTTTGGAAGAAGAGTTACTGAAGGGCTGTGATTGGTTGGGTCATGGAAGTCCCGGTTTTTGTTTACATCTGTGTCTTTTTGCTGGTGTGGGATTCTCATTTGCTTAAATGTTCCTTGGAATGACATGATGAGGAGTATTTTTTTTTTTATCTGGCAACATTCTCAGTGTGGTTAACTTTCCACAGGAAGCAGAGCAATCTTCTGGTTTTCATTAGAGATCGATCAATATGTTTATTTTTCTCTGGATCAATATTTAGTAGTGAGGTCAATAACCAATACAGATGGAGACGTGAAAATCTTAACATGTTCAATAGATTTATTAATTGCTCATTGTTTGTTTTCAGGTTGATTATTATCAACATTAAAACAGTGACATGTGACTTTGTGTTCTGCAGGTTTTAAATAAAATACATTTAAATCTAAAAACAAAAACAGCTTGAACTCATCAATGATCATAGCATACATTTGTGGCTACACTTGGATGCAACAGCCAGATCCTATCAGACCTCTGAGGCTAAGCAGGACAGGGCCTGGTTAGTACTGTGATGGGAGACCTCTGAACACCAGGTGCCACAGATCGATAGATACTTTATTGATCCCAAAGGAAATTGTGCATTAGTCCCTTGCTCACAAACATACAAACATAGGATAGAGTTAAAAGATACAAAACGGTTAAAAAAGACAATAAGAGTGGGGCGGCTGCGGCTGTAAAGTGCCAAACTGTGGTTGTGTCCTTAGGCAAGACACTTCCCCCACATTAGAATGAGTCGGTTGGTGTAAATAGTCTTTTGAACACTATTCATAATGTTCCAAGTTTGACCTTTATGTATGTATTGGTGAAAACATCGATTACTTATCTTTGTACGAAGGTCTGAAGCAAATGTTTGTTTAATATAAGAAAGCCTGGTTGTGATGCAGCTGCAGAATTGGATAAATCTCCGAGGTAACAGATGCTAACGTTGCAAAGACTTTCGCCTCTCGCAGAGAAGGCTGTTTGGGAGAAAAGACTTTTACATTTTTCTAATTTATTTTTTTCAAAACAGCACTTTACAGTCTCCACTCGAGACCTTCCATAGTTTTCCACTTTACTGACATTGTGCAGCTGCTCGAGGGCTTTGGTGCAAATTCATTACCGCCTTAAAAACATGGATCTAAATGAAAGTCAGTGGGACCTTGTTACAGAATGTGTCGTAGAATAACACATGTTTTTGTTCAGTTGAGTTGTGTTTATGTGTGGACCAGTTAGCAAGTCAAGACGAACGAATTGACTGGTGAAAAAACAGATAAATGCAGATTGTCTTATATCAGTCCCAGTTTATTAACCCAATATACTGTATTAGCTTGATATATTAGCTTGATATATTAACCCGATATATATTAGCCCGATATATTAGCCCGATATATTAGCTTGATATATTAGCCCGATATGTATTAGCCCGATATATATTAGCCCGATATATTAGCTTGATATATTAGCCCGATATATATTAGCCCGATATATTAGCTTGATATATTAACCCGATATATTAACCCGATATATTAGCCCGATATATTAGCTTGATATATTAGCCCGATATATTTACCCGATATATTAACCCGATATATTAGCCCGATATATTAGCTTGATATATTAGCCCGATATATTTACCCGCTATATTAGCCCGACATATAAGCCTGATATATTAGCCCAATATATTAGCCCGATATATTAACCCGATATATTTGCCCGATATATTAGCCCAATATATTAGCCCGATATATTAACCCGATATATTTGCCCGATATATTAGCCCGATATATTAACCCGATATATTTGCCCGATATATTAGCCCAATATATTAGCCCGATATATTAACCCGATATATTTGCCCGATATATTTGCCCGATATATTAGCCCGACATACAAGGTCAGTGAGGTATGAGGAGGTCAGTTCATAAAGGCACTTGCAGGTGATGATATTCATATTGTCTGTTATGGGAGCGGTTGTTTGAGGATGGGGGTGATGTGTTCTCTGGAGCGGGGAGGAGTGAGCAGGCGGACAGCGGAGGTCTGGATTTATTGCCGTTTCTGGAGATGAATGGAGGAGAGACCATAGAGAAGCCCATTGCAGCAACATAGACGTTGAATTAATCTAAACCAGGCGTCTCCAACCTGTAGCCCGGGAGCCACCAGTAGCTCTCCACCCCCTTCCAGGTAGCTCACCAAAGGATTTAAAAATGATCTAAACCGAAATGATCCAAACCGAATTCTCAGTTCATGAAGTTATTATGAAGGTGTTTTTCCGTTCACTAATTTCCTTCGCTCTCGTTTCCTCCACAGATTTTCAAGAGCAAAGTTCTGGAGCTCGGGGAGAAGTTGCTGCCCGCATTCAACACACCGACAGGAGTCCCCCGGGGAGTCATCAACCTGGGGAGGTGAGTCTCCAGCCCGAGCTCTTTCCTCCAAGCGTCCTCTATCCCACACTAAAGATCATATCGAGGCAGGCACTCTTGGCGGCTATTAATCACGGCGCTGGAACGTGTTCGCACTGGCAACGACCGGGTTGCCAGGTTCCTGCCGAGTTGATAATGATCAGCCAAATGAAAAATATCAGGCCCAAACCACAGACTCTGCCGGAGCCCGGAGAGACCGACTCCGACTCCCGTCAAAGAGCTACTGCTGATACGAGAGGCTTTACCCCCGAGAGGAGCTAGGAATGTGGGCAAAGATTTAAAGTAGCAGTATGTAGGATTTTAATGTCAAATCATCATTAAAGGGCCCTAATCTGTCTTCATTAAAGGAATAGTTCACCGTTTTTACATACTGACATATGTTCTTTCCTTACCTTAGACTAGTTAATACGTACCTGTCTGGTCTTAGTCCGTGCGCTCTGTCATGCAAACGGAGCAAAAACGGGAGCACAAATGCAGCCTCCTCTGTATATTTTGTAGCACCAAAAGGTAGCTCCCGCTAGAAGCTACCAAACTCTTCCAAGTGTTCCCTATTAAATGTATATAGTTACGTGACGTGTTACACTGCAAAGTATAGTAACACAGAAATGTAACAGTCGATTTTCTCAGCGGATAAAACGGGTACTATATTGTGAGGCGTAGTAATCTGAGGAGCGCTACGTCCGCGCACTAACTTCTCTCCGGAGACTTCTCTCTCGCTCACTTCCGTCAATAGAAGCAGCGTGACTTGTAGTACGGAGAGAAGTTAGTGCGCGGACGTAGCGCTCCTCAGATCACTACGCCTCACAATATAGTACCCGTTTTATCCGCTGAGAAAATCGACTGTTACATTTCTGTGTTACTATACTTTGCAGTGTAACACGTCACGTAACTATATACATTTAATAGGGAACACTTGGAAGAGTTTGGTAGCTTCTAGCGGGAGCTACCTTTTGGTGCTACAAAATATACAGAGGAGGCTGCATTTGTGCTCCCGTTTTTGCTCCGTTTGCATGACAGAGCGCACGGACTAAGACCAGACAGGTACATATTAACTAGTCTAAGGTAAGGTAAGAACATATGTCAGTATGTAAAAACGGTGAACTATTCCTTTAAAGGCCCTAATTTGTCACCATTAAAGGCCCTAATCTGTCATTATTAAAGGGCCCTAATCTGTCATCATTAAAGGGCCCTAATCTGTCATCATTAAAGGGCCCTAATCCGTCATTATTAAAGGGCCCTAATCTGTCATTATTAAAGGGCCCTAATCTGTCATCATTAAAGGGCTCTAATCTGTCATCATTAAAGGGCCCTAATCTTTCATCATTAAAGGGCTCTATTACTTTCATCATTAAAGGTCCCTAATCTGTCATCATTAAAGGTCCCTAATCTGTCATCATTAAAGGGCCCTAATCTGTCATCATTAAAGGGCTCTAATCTGTCATCATTAAAGGGCCCTAATCTTTCATCATTAAAGGGCTCTAATCTGTCATCATTAAAGGGCCCTAATCTTTCATCATTAAAGGGCTCTAATCTTTCATCATTAAAGGGCCCTAATCTGTCATCATTAAAGGGCCCTAATCTGTCATCATTAAAGGGCCCTAATCTGTCATCATTAAAGGGCCCTAATCTATCATCATTAAAGGGCCCTAATCTTTCATCATTAAAGGGCCCTAATCTGTCATCATTAAAGGGCTCTAATCTGTCATCATTAAAGGGCCCTAATCTGTCATCATTAAAGGGCTCTAATCTGTCATCATTAAAGGGCCCTAATCTGTCATCATTAAAGGGCCCTAATCTATCATCATTAAAGGGCTCTAATCTTTCATCATTAAAGGGCCCTAATCTGTCATCATTAAAGGGCTCTAATCTGTCATCATTAAAGGGCCCTAATCTGTCATCATTAAAGGGCTCTAATCTGTCATCATTAAAGGGCCCTAATCTGTCATCATTAAAGGGCCCTAATCTGTCATAATAATAAACTGATCTTTTCCAATACTTCTTTAACTGATAACAGTAGTTCAGAGATATATGAATTTCTAAATTACTTTTCCAGCCTCTAAATCTTGTTATTGTTTTCATTTCGATGTCCCGCCCTCCACCGTTTCACCAATCAGAAAGTCTGTGATCCGGGCGCCAGAACTCACCGCGTGGAGCTAATCTCACTGGTAAAGTACCATGTGGAGCTAATCTCACTGGTAAAGTACCATGTGGAGCTAATCTCACTGGTAAAGTACCATGTGGAGCTAATCTCACTGGTAAAGTACCATGTGGAGTTAATCTCACTGGTAAAGTACCATGTGGCGCAGAACTAAAAAAGGTCTCGTTATGATTCTCAAATCATTAACGACAAAACAAGGAATAAAAGCAGGATTTCTATCTTTGTGAAAAAGGTGTTGGTTATAGATTTGTTGTTGACAAAACTCTTGTCCATTCAGCTGTTATGGTCCCAGCTGGATTCGTCTGCATATCTGGCAACCTGAGTTTTACATACTGCTCCTTTAACAAGTTCAGGATTTAGTTTCCGGCAACAGCACAGACCCAGAGACAGCTCGAGGGTGAATTGTGGACGACTTTGGGCAGAGCTGCGTCCTCTGTAGCGTAGTGTAAGAGGATCACAATCTGGATCGCTGAGTATGAAGTAAGCTATACATAGTCTCATTTACATTTGATGCATTATTCAAACTGCGCCCTTTAGCAACGCATTGAACTCTCAGTCTTTTTACCCCCAGACATGACTATTCAATATGCATTTATTCTTTGTTATGACTAAATAAACACAGGTAATGTTGACAGAAATGCAGAGTCTGTCTTATACCAGGTCACATCTATTTATGGATTTAATCTTTAATTCACACACACACAAAACAGAAAGACAACACAAACCGGTCCAACAACACAAAACAGAAAGAAAACACACAAACATACAATATTTACACAATTCTGTAAAAAAGAAAAAAGAATATTATTTTCGGTAAAACAAGATTTAACACAATGAAAGAATAAGTGTTTATTTGAAAAGGTGAAGCAAGGCAAGTTTATTTGTATCGCACAGTTTGTACACATAGCTGCGAGGTCCTGGGTTCGATTCCACCTCCGGAACAGAGCCTTTCTGTGTGGAGTTTGCATGTTCTCCCCGTGTATGTGTAGGTTTCCTCTGGGTGCTACGGTTTTCCCTACCGCTAAAACATGTACAGTAGTTCAGGGTGATTGAGTGTGTGTTTGTGACTGTGGGATGACAGATATAGGTAAATAAGTAAATAATTATTATCTATATAGTGCCAATGCCGCAATCCGGAGTGATTTGCTCATTAACATTGACTGTCCCAACAAAAATAACTAATAATCTGGATCTTTCTGTCATGAAACTCGGAAACAGACCGGTCCTGGTCCTGATTGGCTCTTGGTAACTTGGTTGTTGCTAGCAAGAATATTTGCATACATTTGGCCCCACTCCTCTGGGTGCTACAGTTTCCCATATCACTAAAAACATGATTGAGTGTGTTTGTGACTGAGACGACAGATGCTAATTAGCCTCTTGCTACAATCTGGAGAAGTGTGTCCATTAGCGCTGTCCAGACCAAATAAACAAATTATTAGTTGCCTTCTGTCACCAATTTTGGGTTTAGCTAGCAAGAAACAGACGAGTCCCGCTTCTGATTGGCTCTTGCTAACTTGTTGGTTGCTACCAAGTAAATCTGCATACATTTGGTTCCACATTCTCGCTCAAATAGCCTGTTTGAGCTAGCTCTAAACAGCCTCTTTCTCGTTAAGGCTAATGCTAATGGAATCGTCAACGCTCATATAGACAGTCTATAAATTCTACTCACATTTTTTTTAACCAAAACCTGAAAATACTGCTACGGGAAAGCGCTATTCTGCAAACAAAACCTGTTTTTGAGATGCTTGCAGGCCCTAACTAGCTTCACTAAAAGCCCGGGGCAGAGTGCTTCTTAGCAGCCGTTTTTACACCTTACACCTCTCTCTATAAACTTATATTATATTCCTTTCAATATTCCGAGCAGATGCGATGACTAATTGATGTCATTAACGTTGTCTGGAGCTGGTTTAAGTGCTTCCGTTTACGTTTTTTTCCGAGTTGGTTTGTCGTAAAGTCCCCGGAGGCCACTCGTTTTAAAATACAACACCTGCCAAATAAAAACCGGGAGCTCAGAAAACGCTGCAGAGTTATTAGCGGCAGTTTGCAGCCGAGGCTAAATATTTATAAGTCACTTAATGAGTAGAAAAGTTTACTAATTTGTACAAAGTGACATTTTCTCTGTTGGTGTGGAAGTAGATGTGAGTTTTGCATTAGGTGAACGCAATTTCTTCTCATTGTCGAAGTGCGAGAAAGTTTTGCAGTCTCTTCTATTGACTTTGCAACAGCTGCTAGTTAATTACGACGACTCCCTGAGAAGAATTAATCTGAGTTTATAAAAGCTTTCGGAAAAAAATCACATGAATAATATTTGCCTTTTAAATTATCCTGGTATACAAACATGAACCTTGCTTATCTGACCGTGTTGTGGCGTTCTGGGATGAAGCAGATCTGGAGATTGCGGGTCGGAGCGTGTGGAGGAGGCTGCGTTTGGTGCTATCGCTAGCAGGAGGAGAATCAGGCTAATTAAAACAGTCATTAGATTAGGGAGATAGCTGTAGATGTATATCACAATGTAAGCTATAGGTAAAAGGCAAAACATGGGGCTGTACAAACTGAAGCTGGGATCAAAAAGTTGGTTTAAAAATCTGATGCAACCTCCAATGTTAAACTTTTTTATTCATTTATTTAGAGGATAACCCCCAAGATTTCACAAGAACAGATACAGTAAAGCAGATGTAAACAAAACCAAAATACAAGAACATAATTCAATAATAATAACAATAATAATAATGATAAAAAGCTACCATAAAAGGTATACCCCCTATAAACCCTCAATCACACACACACACACAGACATTATCAGAATTAATTCAACTTATTCAAT